CGAGGAGTGGAGCGGGAGCGGGAAATGGTGAACCCGGAGAGGAGCTGGAGCGGAGTGATTATTAAATGCTCGGAGCGCGGAGGGAAATTGTTGCCGCTCTGCTCCGCTCAAATACTCTGGCGCCAACTTATAGGCAGTCGGCCCCCCCATTTTGTGCAGCTGCACAAACGTTAACAAATCAGGCTCCAGTATTCGGAGGAAACGGCGTTTCCTCAAGCGTGTTTCACACGATGCTTGTTCCTGTTATCTCAGGCAACTGAGATTACATTTAGTAACTGGAGCGTTTCACTGGCTGTTATTCCTTTTTTACACATCTCTGAAATATGTAATGAATTACAGTTATGACAATTACATTATATGCAAAAAATTAAAAAAATATATGAAAAAGTCATCTCATCTGAACCAGGTGAGAAATCTGCACAGATCAAGCACAGTTTACAAGCTAAAACATCCTACAAAACTCTAAACAATCACGTGGATGGATTTTGATGTGAGAGGACAAGAGAAGATGGAATTTTTCCATCTTTTATTGTATTTAAGCAAAGGTTTGAAGTTAAAAGCATCTTAAAGATGGATTTGTTTCTTATAAACACGCAGCTTTTGACTTTACAAGACATCAGTTAATGGACTGGAGATTATTGTGATGTTTTTATCAGCTGTTTGGACTCTCATTCTGACGGCACCCATTCACTGCAGAGCATCCACTGATGCACTGCTACATTTCTCTAAATCTGATCTGTTCCTTTAAGGACTTGGTTTCTACATAGACCGGACAATACAAGACATACACATCCTTAAGACATGAACTGAATAACTGGGAATTTTATTGAAATTAAATTGTTCTTCTCTCATTTTCCATCTCAACATGTCGAGCAGGCTGTGCCTCCTCTGCATGAGGTACAATTACCTTTACAGTGCAGCAATGATACATTCACAAACTGCAGCTGGTATTTGGGTCTGAATCTATTTAAATCTTTAACATTTATTTGACAGACAATGACTTGAATACATACAGATGTGATATGGTTTGTTTTATATCGATAAAATATGTTTGAAATAATGACAACAAGGTACAAGGAAAACATTTGATTACTTTTTACTTGATGGCTATACACCACTTGACTGAGTCATTAAATCAACAGTGAAACTGAAGATGCAACACATTCTCTCTCCCAAATCGTCACATATTGACGCTTGGTCAGGAGGACCCCTTGGCTTTTTGACGCTCAAGGTGCCCCTTTAAGCGTAATTTTTTAAATACAAAGGTTACTTTTTAGCGTCACTTTTCGATGTGCAGGGTCCTCCATTGCTTTCAGTTGTTTGCCTTAATTTAATGGGTTGCATGCATTTGTAAAAATAGAAATAATTTTATATAAATGTATACTTTAATTGGAGCACCTAACCCCACCCCTGAATAATGTAAAACATGTAACAGGCAAATAGAAGTATTTATTGCAAAAACTGACTATAAAAAAGCAGAATAAAAGTAATACAAGTCGTGTTGAATTCCAAGTCTTCTGAAGCCATACGATATCTTTATGCGAAGAAGGTTTTAATTGCTAAAAATGATCCCTCTCCATTAACGAGCTCACATCTCATTCAAAACGATACTCCTGTAGCATGATGCATTCGGTCACGAGACACACAAGAGCCAATGCTATTTCACAATCAAGACTTATGTAAGGCTTCTTCTGGCGGCATTTTTTTAAAAATTTGCGCACAGACTGCAGCACACAGGATCTGAGATTTATGGCGGAAGGAGACGATGATCGCGTCTATTCCTCTCACATATTAAATTGTACTTGGAATATGCGAAGAAGGTTTTAATTGCTAAAAATGATCCCTCTCCATTAACGAGCTCACATCTCATTCAAAACGATACTCCTGTAGCATGATGCATTCGGTCACGAGACACACAAGAGCCAATGCTATTTCACAATCAAGACTTATGTAAGGCTTCTTCTGGCGGCATTTTTTAAAATTTGCGCACAGACTGCAGCACACAGGATCTGAGATTTATGGCGGATGGAGACGATGAGCGCGTCTATTCCTCTCACATATTAAATTGTACTTGGAATATACTTAATATATATTGTATTTAAAATATAGAATATTTTTTTAATACATTTTGACTGTAGTTGTATCTGCCTGTTATATCTGGTGTTTTACTGACAAACGTTAGGTTTAGGGGCAGGGGTTGGGTTACGTGCTCATAAACGTGTAAATAGTGTAACGTAAATAAAATTGCTGTGACTGTTTACATTGAAAAATCACACTCCAACATATATGCAATAATGGCAATATTATTACCCAATGTATAATTTAATCATGATGATAAAATTCCCAATGCCTTTCGCGTCAGCTTATTGATGCCATGGGTTTCTTATTTAAAGCAATGGAGGACCCTGCATGTCGAAAAATGATGCTAACCAAGTGTCAATATGTGATGAGTTGGGAGTGAGAATGTGTTGGAAAATGCTACATGATTTAGAATCACATGAAACCAGCATGAACACAAAGAGTCCATTTCTAAGACACTGGCTCACGCTTTTGAAACAAGCATGAATTTCTAAATGCATTAAACTAGACTTTTCCTTTTCATTGTCTCTTCATTTGTCATGGGCTCGTCTATCAAACGCTGCTGTGTTTGTTGTGTCTGGCTTCACAGTGGCGTGATGACAGCGGGAATGAGCTTTGGAAACTGCTGGTCAGAAACACGCTGATGAACCGTCTCACATCTCTCAGACTGTCGGGATCCCTGAAGATCCAGGGAAGAAGAAGAAGAAGAAGAAGATCCTTAACTGGAGGTTCTTCACTCCTCCACTTGGTGGGGACAGAGACAGAGACACAGTCACGTCTATCACAAATGAAGCGAGGGTTTTTTCCAAGAGAAATGAATGCCAGTAGAAGACATCTGAGGGATATTTTGCCTCAAAACTAATGAATGACTCTCATTAGATTGTCATTTTCTTTTATTTATAAAACAACTGTGCATTTCTGTATCCAGTTCAGTATAACAAATCATCATGATTAATTTTCTGGAAGCAAAATATAATTTCTCATATCTTTCTTTGGATTTTAGGGTGAAATATGACCTGGACAAGATGGTTGACAGGTTTTGTGAGGTTCACCCCACAACCTTTCTCAGATCATTTGCGAAAGCTTTGCTTGAAATGACAGACTAAAAGTGATTTTGGACTGGTTTAGGCCTGTAATCATAACAATGTGAATCTCCTCCAGAGATCATCAGGAAACTGAATATGTTTAAAGTGTCTCATGAGCAAAGAAATCACACGATGGATGCAGATGAACCTCATGACTTCATTCTGGTGCAAACTGATTTTAGATTCTCTTTCTGTCCAGTTCTGCTGCTCTGTTCAGTTTAGTGTTTTTAAGCCTGACACTTGAGCATGTTTTAGTTTTTTCTTTAAATGCTGTTTGTAGTTATTGTGTTTAAATTCTACCTTGGCAATGAGCTGAAACAAAATACATAGATTTTTAAATTATATTTCATTATATTTCTGATAACATTTATTTCAAGTAACAAATATGCTTTTATGGTTTTAGTTAACTATAATAACCCTGACGGAGTAGCCTTAAAGGGGTCATATGATGCGATTTCAAGTTTTCCTTTCTCTTTGGAGTGTTACAAGCTGATTGTGCATAGATAAGATCCCTGAAGTTGCAAAGACTAAAGTCTCCAAATACACCAAATAATGTTCTTTTTAGCAGCATCATATGACCCCTTTAAGGCTTGTTCACACCGAGACGAATATCGCGCGCGATTATCGCCGACGGCTAACGCCTCATGGGGCGCCAATGTGAGTGTGCACACTGATGTGCAAAATGCGAGGCGTAAAAGCGTCAATTTTTAAAAACGCCTCGGGCTCGTTTTTTTGGTTTGACACGCCGCGTTAAAAACTGGCCGACCAATGAGATTGGCGCTTTTGTTCACGTGCCTGGAGTTGCTGAAGTTACAGTAAAACACGACTTGGTGGCGCTCAAGCACAAAACGGCAGATCAAATCCAGCACTCTTTATAGACCAAGAGGTAAGTTAAGTCTTTGTAATGTCAACTGTGATGAATTACTTGGATATTTTTGTAATTATAAATTATGTATTGAAGTTTAGATGTAATTCAGATTTGTGTTCATTTGTAATAATTTTGTATGTAATCTGTAATTGCTGGTAAAGGAATACTATGATTGTTGGTGTATAATATTATTTTAAGGTTTGTCCCAAATTTATCAGCAGCCAACCTGATTTGTCCTTTTAAAACTGTATTAGGTATCTGTGAAATTCAGTTGGACTACAACAATCCCTTTGGTCTCCAAATATATGGGACTGCTTGATCATTTCTCAAACCAAAGAAAGGAGCAGCAGCAGCACAGAAGATCACAAACATCCTGTCAGTTATGGCTCAGGTATGTTATCTAAATTCACTGTCATTTTAAATCTGACAATAATTCATAATAGGTTAAAATAATATTTCACCCAAAGATGAAAATTCGGTCATCATTTACTCAGCCTCATGTCGTTGAACCTCTTACATCTTTTTTTGTTGTTGTTGCCTGAACTAAAAAAAATGATGCATTTTGGCCAATTTGTCCTGCTCTTTTTTGTGTACACAATACAAGTCAATGGTGAATTCCTGTTCTGAATCTTCAAATGTAACATGTAATTTTTTAATGCTTTTGAAGCTTCAGAAGAGAAACTCACCTTTCTGTCATTTTATCATCAGAAATTTTGAGTCTTACCTCTCAGATAGGTCCTTCAAGGTATCTTGGAGAGGTGAGGTGAGGTAGCAACATTTAACTACTGGGGTGCCTCAGGGCTCAGTTCTTGGACCACTTCTCTTCTCTGTCTACATGGTGTCACTAGGTTCTGTCATTAAGAAACATGGCTTTTCATTTCACTGCTATGCTGATGACACTGAACTCTACACTCAAAAAAATGAAATGTGGCTGCTGTTGGTCCAAAGAATGTAACTACGTTTAAATTAAATAATTCCCTTACGTTTGTGTATTAAAATTAAAAGAGTTGTGTTGACCAAATTAGAAAAAGTAATATTTCAAATTTACACAGTTCACTTAAGTAAAGTGAATGAAATGGAGTTGAGTTGCTTCTGCAGTACCGCACTTTGGTCAGCAGGTGGAGTAATATCTGCACATGCGCAGATGTACAGCACATTCAAAGATCACTCTTCAGCGATCGGCGCCATTTTTGAATCAGACGAAGATCACAGTGCCAAACGAGGAACGTTTTCTTTATGTGGAAACACAGGTGAGATATTTTACTTTTTATGCATATATATTGAGGCTGTCATTTTATTAGAATGGTTAATCGCGCATAATCTCATGTTTTGTATTTTTACAAAAATACAAAACATTTCACTTAAATAAGCTTAAATAAGCTTCACTTAAATTATTTCACTTAAATAAGCTTGTTTGTTAGGTCATTCAACACATACTAAAGTTTAGGAGTTGGCAGTGTTTTATATTATTATTATTATTAGGTGACTCACACCTTTTTTTCCAACCTCACAGAGTTGTAGAGTTCTACATGTGGCTGTGCAGAGATTGTGGTTCCTCTCACACATCCAGATCAAATCCAGCACTCTTTATAGAGCAAGAGGTAAGTCTTTGTAATGTCAGCTGTGTTGAATTACTTGGATATTTTTGTAATTCTAAATTATGTATTGAAGTTTAGATGTAATTCAGATTTGTGTACATTTGTAATAATTTTGTATGTAATCTGTGCTGGTAAAGGAATACTATGATTGTTGGTGTATAATATTATTTTAAGGTTTGTCCCAAATTTATCAGCAGCCAACCTGATTTGTCCTTTTAAAACTGTATTAGGTATCTGTGAAATTCAGTTGGACTACAACAATCCCTTTGGTCTCCAAATATATGGGACTGCTTGATCATTTCTCAAACCAAAGAAAGGAGCAGCAGCAGCACAGAAGATCACAAACATCATGTCAGTTATGGCTCAGGTATGTTATCTAAATTCACTGTCATTGTAAATCTGACAATAATTCATCATAGGTTAAAATAATATTTCAGCCAAAGATGAAAATTCGGTCATCATTTACTCAGCCTCATGTCGTTGAACCTCTTACATCTTTTGTTGTTGTTGTTGCCTGAACTAAAATAATGCATTTTGGCCAATTTGTCCTGCTCTTTTTTTTGTGTACACAATAAAAGTCAATGGTGAATTCCTGTTCTGAATCTTCAAATCTAACGTAATGTTTTAATGCTTTTGAAGCTTCAGAAGAGAAACTCACCCTTGACTGTCATTTTATCATCAGAAATGAGCAAGACAAACTAACCAAATTTAGCATTTTAAATTATGCATATTTTTGTATATATTTACACAAAATGTAAACATGATGTAAAATTCACATTAAAGAAGATCTGCATATTTATTTATATATTTATTCATTAAGCAGAAGATTACTGCTACCTAGTTGAAAACAAACACTTATAAAATGAACATGACATGACATTACCACTATGACCAGTAGATGGCTGCAGAGGATCACTGATTCATGTATTCACTTGCCGTTTCCACTCCCTTATGTAGAGTTAATCAAAGGGTGAGCGATTTATGTAGTTACTTGATAATAATATTTTGAGCTCATTTAAAATTCTAAACAACAACAACTAAAAAACTTCTTTGTTTATATTTTGATTATTTATAAACTTTTATTTGTTATGGAGAGGAATTGCAGATCAAATAGGATTCGATGTGTACCGGGGTATTTCTGTTTTTCATTAAGCGCTATCTAATGTCAGGGAGTGAATTTGCACATTCACTCGGCTCATCGCCAGCGAAAATCACTTGGGTATGAACACAAAAGACACGTCGAAAAACGTCGATAATCGCGCGCGCGATAATCGTCCCGGTGTGTACGAGGCTTTAGTCTGATTGATTTGTGAAGGCATCATATCTGTATCCTTTGCTGCCTATGATATCCCACAATCCTGTGCGATAATTTCCACCGATGCCGTCTGAAAGCTGGTGAAAGCATCAAGGAATGGATGTGCTGTAGAAAAGAGACGTTTAGATGGTGGTCAGTTTGTATTTAAACAACTGTTATTCATTTCTAGTGAAAAATAAGTATTTTGGTAGTGAAATAAATGGCCTAGTTGTCACCAAAGCTGTGTCCCTTCAAACACAAACGCTGCTTATGAAGCCATCAACTTTACACATCAGCAGTCTGAGCTTTGGGACGCATCTCGTGAATCTGATCGTTCTGACATGATGTGAATATAGGCAGCGACAGAGCCGAGCTCTAATAACAGACCTCAGCAGATACATGTGTATTATAATGCTGCTTATTTCCTTCATCAGCATGACTAAGCCAGCACAGATACAGTTGTGGGCGCTTTGATTATTCAAAGCTCTATTTAAGGGAGATTACTCGTCTGGAGGATCAAAGCCTTACGTATGATCCGCACACGGCCGGTGGATCTCCAGACATCATGAACTAGGGCCAGGGAGAGGCATGAATTATGCAGCAGCGGCTATAGTGGATTACACATGGCAGATGATATGCTGGCCGCAGCGCTTTATAATGCCAAGCTCCTCAGCAGAGGATGGCACAGCTCTAAATCTCCTCCTGTCACCGGAGAACTCGGCTTGATGGATTTAGTCTCTTGGAGGGCCGGTGTCATGTGAAAGTGTTCAGATTGATGAGCAGGACTCTCTTCCCGGATCACGAAGATCCTGAGGGTCTGAAGAGGTGCAGGAAATAAACCCAGGGTCAGGACGTTTCTTCAGTGACCATTTACTGCATGAGATTACATGACTGAGGTGAAAGCATCAAGGAATGGATGTGCTGTAGAAAAGAGATGTTTAGTGCTTTTAACTTGACTTTGAAGATGACACAATAAGCTGCCACTGATTCTTGCGGCAAAACATTTCCCACAGTTTCACCTCATTCATTCTTCAAAATTATCAATGAGAGGATCTCCAGAACGTTACAAATGTAACATTTCAATCGATTCTGAAAATCGTAAAACGAATATAGCTATATATTTTAAAATAAATGTTTATTTTTTAGATATAAATTTCAAAATATAACTCTGTTGTAAGATATAATTTCATGATATAAGCACTGTATTTGTTTTAAGTGGAAGATTATCTGTCAATAATCTCTGTGAAAATTTAAAAATATATAGAAATTTAATATAAAATTTCCATCCATTTGGTTTACACCGTTTTAATGCAAACTTGCTAATAAACTCACGATTACTATTAAAGAACATATTTGCATCTATTTCATTTGATTAATCATTATTTTTCAAAATGTATTTATTTATTTAAATTGCTTAGAATCCGCATAAATCTGTTTATTGTGAACTGAATTACATTTATTCAGTTAAAAAGCATGAACATGAGCTTTAGATGTGGAACAAGCAATATTCGATTAGTTAAAATGGATGAGATTAAAACAGTTTTGATTGGTTGATGACAAATATGTACATCTAAATGCATTTAAAACACATTACTATTACAGAAATCTGACCGGTTTCATTTATGCATGACTGACAAATATGCATCACATTAAGTTTGTGTTAAAACTGTGTAGAGAACTCTATATGCAATTTAAATTCACGAATCTTACATTTAGACCTAAATATTTTTTTGAGTGAACATTCTTGAGAAAATCACTGAAGAGAAACGAACAGCATACGGGACGGTGAGCAAATGATAACAGAACCGTAATGAAAAATGTCTTCATTTCTGATCGTTTAATAGCACCGTCACGAACTTTCATCTGATCTGTGTTTCATCATAACTTCATCTGAAGCACACATTAATGGCCCTCCACAGTGAACTGCGCTGGGTGATCCAGCAGCGGCATAAAGCTGCCATGACTCCTTATATCACAAGAGTGACAGATGATCCGTCAGCAGCGGCTCTATACGCACACAGCTGCCTCGTTCACACACTGCGCCGCTGCAGGAGGAAGTGTGCTGAGGATAATGAGAGCCACTGAGTGCTCAAGTGTGGATACAATTCAATTTGAAATCCCTTCAGATAGCATGATTACAGTCCGTTTGCTGTCCGAGGCTTCTGATTGGCCAGCCATGCCAATGGAATGTAAATGTATGTAAATGAGTCCAGCTAAACAGGGCTTGGGTCTGGATCTCAGCTTATGTTCTTACTCGTGTCCACAGTCTATTTGCAGTGTACTAGAGGAGGCAATTACAAGTAATTATAGGCATCTAGTCAGCACAGTATCCTCAGCGTCCTCCAGCAGTCACAGGCCACCCAAAATCTCCTCAAGATGCGAGTTTAGATACAGAAAGTTTGCCTCGACTTGTTTTAGTTACCATGTCAACGTTCCCTTTAATTAGGAGCAGGCACTGACGATGCTGGAACCCTACTGTGCTTGCACTGGCCTTCTTCTTCTTCTTCTGTCCTACAAATATATCCCAATCATGCACTGCTCACACAGACACACATCTGTCCAACACTAAGGCACACAAAATTGGAAGCACTGAACGTTCAGAAAAAAAGGTGCAAATAGCACTGGGGTGGTACCTTTTCAAAAGGTACATGTTTGTACATAATCAGGTGCATATTAGTACCGAAAGGGAGCAAAAGGTACAGTCCCAGGAACAGCTTTTGTACCTTTTTTTCTAAGCGCATATAGTGCTGGCAAAAATGATCAACACTTGACGAGTTGAATTTTGAAGATATTAGTAAGTTAACTGGCAACTCATTTGAACAAATTGACTTATATCTGGCAAACGAAATGTCAAAACTTAAAGAAAGATGATGCACAGACAACAGGACATTTTGAGGACACACACACCAGCTTTTGTCAAATTACACCCTATAGAGGGCGATACAGCTGAAAAACACCGAACCCATGTGACTGATGAATCTGAAAGATGGTAGACATCTTCTTTGGTGGATGTCCTAACATATCCTCAAATATGACTCAAAAAGCATAGCTGTCAGCTGCTAATAACTGCCAATCTAAACGAACTACCATTATGAAAATGAACACATTCATACATGGTATCAAAATGAGTATGTGTACATATTTTTGTGAAAATCATCCACAAGGTGGGGCTATAATAAGCAACATTACATTTTTCCTCTAATAACTCCACACACATGTGTGATATAATTAAAATTCTTGTTTCTTCTGAATCCCTTCTTTACCTAACATGTATGGCCCATTAAGACCAACGTGTATATGTTGTGTGCAGAAAAGTTCCAAGTTCTCAAAACTGTAGAAGATTGTGAAGATTCAAGATGAACCTTGCTGTAAAAAAACATTATAAGATATATTTCATTTAGATGGGTAATCATCCACATGGGCCACTGGTGCTTGGACCCTGACAATATATATTGTATATTTGAGTTTTTGTTTCAAGAGAAACAGTTTTACAGTGTGTTAATAACTCTGTCTCAACTCTATTAACGAATCAGTCTTGATTCAATCGGCCACACTAACCTGAATACAGCAGTTCTGCCTGCAAACAAGAAAAAGACTGACTGACAGATGTCTATATCACACTATATCAACTTCATCACACCCAGAGTGGATCTGGGATTTACAGTTATTTACAGTCTCTGTATGGTGAAATTGAATCACTATTGAAGCTCAGCATTGAAATGTCACTCATAGAAATATTCAGGTGACAGCAGTGGAGGACCGCATGTGAAAATCTGCTTTATTATTGCATTATTATTATTATTATCATCATATTGTTATATGTTTGTATTTCTGTGTCTTTTGAGGAAATATAAAATGTGTAGTTTTTTATGAGTCTGTTATGAGATTTATCCACACAGATCACCGAACCTAACAATTACACGTGTGTTGTTTAGTTTTGATGCGACTGAATGCATAAATGCACTAACTATGACAAATGATAATCATGAATCTGTGACGGTCTTCCTGTATTAAACTGTAGCGTCACACTTCACCACAGTCATGTAAG